AGAGTAAAGCAACTGGAAATGTACATAATAAACTTTTACATTTGCTCATTTGAATATGAAATATATTGGAAGGGAAAATAACTTACAACATTCATCTTTGTCCCCTAAAAGAAACATCAGAATTAACCAGAATTGAGCGTGATTGCCCATGCCCTTAATGCCAGCATTCTGGGAGGCTGAGGCAGGAGGATCCTAAGTTTGAGCCCAGCTTGAACACCTTAATGAAACCAGGTCTTAAAATAAAAAAATAAAAAATGAAAAAGGACTGAGGATGTAGCCCGGTGCAAAAGCCCTGGGTTCCATCTCCAGTACTGAAAAAAAAAACAAAACAGGATCTCTCTCCTCCCTCTCCTATCCTCCCCTTCTCCCCCTTACCACACACCCATTCACATGCAGTCATGACATAGACAGCAAGAAGAGCTTATGGTTGGATAGAAAAGATTTGGGAACAAGATTGCACAAGAGATGTTATTGCTAGACAGAAAGCTGATCCAGGTAGAAATGTCCTGTTTAGCATAATTTCATTGATGCCTCTTAATGGAGGCAGTCCATCTGAATTGTTAAAAATTTTGTCACAGAACATTTCAAAGAAATACAGTTTTATCATTCACTCCCAAGAAATAGTTACTACAATTAGGCTCAAAACAGAGTTGTATAATTTGATTTCTTTAGGAACTTGCTTTACTTCATAAGTATGAATGGAGTGTTATACTTGCAACAACTGTTTACATATAAATGTACTTGTATTTTCAGATAGAGCACTTCTGAAGTGCTTAAGAATGCCTGAGAATAGTTTTTGTTTTCCTGCATAGGTTAAATATTTATTCCTTTTGCAATCTTGTTTACATTATTCATTCACTTAGCCACCCTTTTATGGCAAATGTAGACATAATCTCCTTCCTACTCCTCATCAGCATAGTTGAAGAAATTGAGCTTTATGGTTTGTGAGTTTCATTGCAGGGGTTGGAGATGTCAGAGAGCCAGAACTTTGTCCTTCCTAGGAGCTAAGTCTGCTTCAAGGAGTCTACTCTCTAGGAGTTGTGAAAATATTACTGTTATGAAGTGATAGCTGTAGCAATCCCCTATATTGGAGCCTTCCAACAATGTAAAAATTCTCCCCTCTTTCTTTCCACCAGCTTGGTGGATGCTCATTTATTAATTTGTTCAATAAACAGGTTTCACATTGCTAATGTAAGGGTGCATTACTAAGACACAGCCCTTGCTGATAAATGATTTATTCTATAGAAGAGACAAAATATCTAAATAAATTCTGCCCAATAACAATTATATTGTCTGTTCACCCAACATGGAAATTGAGATTGATGCAGATATAAAAAAAGCTCTAATTTCTATATTTAATAGAAAAGTCAGTTTTTTTGGTTTTAAAGACCGTAAGTACTTACTGCCAATCAGCAAATGAACAACCTCAATAAGATTCAGCAGGGCTGCTAAATAGTTTAATGGAAAGCTCATACCCTTTGGATTATAATACTCCTAATATATTTGGCATTTACTAGCAGTGTGACCTGTAGCATATATTGCACTTCTGAACCTGATATCTCTTCCATAAAATAATACCTTCTCCACAAGGCTGTTTCAAAGATTTAAAAATATAGCATGTGTAAACTGCCTAACACAGCACCTGGCACTTAGTAAGTGTGCCATAGATATTAGTCTTCTCCCCAAAGCCATTCATTTATTTTTGTGTCCTTTAGATTTTAGTGCTCTGGGACAAATTTAATTTGTCCACCCTACTTTTCACTCTGGGGTGGATTACCTTTGCCTATCCCTGCCTCTCTCAACCAGACTGATTCCTGACCTCCTAGCTGGGTTATGTGTTCCTCTTTGGAGCTCCCATGGGGTCCTAAGCATCCCCCTCTGAGCAATAATCACGTTGTGTAGCAGAGTATTTTTCAAAATGTGGGCCTCAGAATACATACGTTAGAATCACCTTTGATAATTTGTTTGTTAAAATAATTGATCCCTGACCCTACTCTTGATCTACTTAATTAGGATATTTAGAAACAGGTAAAAATTTACATTTTGACAAGCTTCTCAGGTTATTCTTTTGCACATAAAAATTTATTGTATAATAATTATCTTCCCTACTAGACTGGGAATACCTTGAAGACAAGAACTGTGTCTTTTGCTGTTGTTGTATTTTAAATACCTGGCACAATGTCTGGAACAGAGTAGCTGCCTGGCTAATGTTTGCTGAGTGAATGTATGAATGAACAAATGAGTAATCAAAGTTTCTCTCTTGTACTCTGATATCCACAATGGTATTTGTTATTTACTCGGCAGGAAAGCTGGGGTTAGTTCTCTACTTGGTCTGTATTGATATTATTTTACGGATGTACCAGAGCTCATACATATAAGTGAGTATTGTTCTTAAAAACTCTTTGACAGTTATCTTAGGGAATTGTCTTTAAACATGTAGCACCATTCTTTTCAATAACATTTCAATTTTTTCACACTTTGTTCTTTAAAGGATTAAAGTTTTGATTATAGGAAAATACTCACAGCTCAGCCTATTGAATAAACTGGGAAATTAATCAAGGTTTGAAGTAAACAATGAAGTTTGACTCTGAAGTCTCAACTTGAGCCAAGTAATGAAGTGACTTCCAAGATACAATAGAGTTGCAGAATACTCAGTAGGGGTGTGGTGAGTCTCAGATATTTAATTCACCAAACTTAAGAGTTTTATAGAATCCTGGCAATACCAGGCATCTTAAGAGAAGCCATTGGCTACCTCTATCTGAACCCAGTTGCTCAAAGGGACTACAACATGTTTTTAACATCTGCAAGGAAGACAACTCCATAAGCTTTTGCTGTTGTTGCTTTACTTGGTCCTCCCTGCTAGAAAATTATTTTTTGTTTGCAAAGTATGCTTGTTCCCACTTTTTATATTGTCTTATTGAAGAAAGCACAAAATGAAACCTGTTTTGAGACTACGAAAGAAATCTTAATGTTACATTCAGATTTGGCTACTTGTAAGAGTAACTGCATCTGGTTGTGTTTTTATTATGTAATTCCATTGTCTATCTTTGGATGCAGTGAAATTCAGATTGCAGCAAAATCACTTACCCATTCTTTTCAGCCTAAACACTCTAGGTGAACTTTCTAAGCTTCCATAGTTTACATATTTATATATGACTACCTGGGTGGAACAATCCATGGATAGAATTATGAATAAGCTCAAATATTTGATACCCTTTTTCCCAAGGAATGGAGAATATGAGACAGGTAGATATGAACCACTCCCACACTTCTAGCTCCTGAAGCCAATTGCAGCCTTGGAGCCATTGGGCTGTATTTGGCTGTGTATTACAAGTTGGCCAGACTTACTGCCATCAGGTTAGGCAAAACTGCCTTTTATGATGTAGTCTGCCAGCCTTAGACATATGCTGTGTTACCGCTATTGGCTAGAATATTTATTAGATTATTGTTGAAGTATTTTTTATCAAATGCTTTACCCCCAAGCTTGTTTGTACTGGGAGCTTTGGACCAATAGTGTCTCTCCTGGTGACAGAAATTTGAGTGTCTGTGTATTACACAGTCTCATCCCTCTCTGAAATATCCCAGCCCATCTGAAATGCTATATTATGACTTAAATAAATATATATGTATTCATGAGTTCTTGATTGCTTCTCATTGGAGTTTAATTGGGGGAGGACTAAGTGGAGCATGGTCATGAGTTACTGGAACTTGGTAAGTGACTTGGGAGAAACCAGATATCATGTAATAGGTAAGATCTGGGCAGAGTGGGTTTGGAAGGTCTGAAACTCAAGATCTAGTCATGACTTTGATTTTAGGAGTAGGATACAGTCTAAAAATCCAAAGAAATCAAGGTGTATGATCAAAGGAAACATGGCACATCCAGTTTCAACGATTGGACCAGAAGATAGGAATTAAGAAAGAACAAATAATTACCCATGCTAGAATCCACTGGTTAAGATTAGAATAAGACCAGAAGCAAGTGAACTGACTTGCTGTTCAATGTTGGACCTGTGGGAGAAGAGAGTGCTAGGTGGTCATTTAGGCCTGGAATTGGGCATATTTTAGTGAGAGCTGTGGTTACACTGAGACTAAAGAGACATTCAACGTGAAGTGAAGCAGAGCATTCAAGTGGGCAGTTAGAGAAGTGACTTGAAACAGGTGCTCAATTCAAAGTCCCAAAAGCAACAATTAAATTGTAAAGGAGATGAAGATCTGGAAAATCAGGGGTTTAGTGATCTACCTGGTAGCCTGGACAAATGCCAAATGTGAGCCATTGCTCACAATAACATTTTAATATAGTCTTTTGTGTGTGATTTGATGTTTGGAAAAGCAGCTCCATTCAGTATACCAGAGAAGAGAAGACATAGGGTTCTTTATGTTCCCCTACCTAGAAAGAGTTGGTCCCAGAGTCTTGTGAAACTGAACCTATAGGTAGAGGTGAAGTGGGCTCAGTTACAAATGTTAGGAGTAACATTGGCCAAAAAGGTTGTTACACGAATAATGGGAATATATATAGTATGATAGCTAATGAAAA